ATCTGTATCTTCTTCAGCCTCTTGTTTGGTGCTAGCCAAGGCATCTCATTCTAAAATTCTTCAGATTTTGGAAGCGAGAGATCTCATGGCCATCTAGATGTCATTTGAAAGTGAGATATGATACCTGTTTTCTATTGCTTGTTCCAGTGAACATTTTTGTGTTTTTAAGTAATCGATTACTGGAGTTTATCCATCACATCAGGCATCTGACAAAGAGCTGATGCTGTCAGGACTCCCAGGTCATCCTGCCACCCACTGTGTTGACCATTACAGACCTTTCTTTAACGCAAAGGAGGAGTCAAGTGAGTATGTGTTGGAGTTGCTACTCTCATTAACTATTGCCAGCTTACTTGGTTTACTTAACTAATGTAGACTCGAGCAGTCAGTTCTGAATCAGGTAAATTTAGGCACAACAGCAAAGCATAATAACACAGTTTTGTATTCTTTGTGCTTGGGAAGACAGCCCCCCAAAATACCAACTATTGCAAATGCTGTGGCCCTGCCTTCCTCATGGATGTCCTTGATGAACCTGTAGTTTAGAGAAGTAGCAGCAATGCAGAAAATATCCTTTGCAGGTGCTTGGAAACAGTCTGATGAAATGTTTAAATCTTGCTGATACATCAAACTTGCCCAGTTTCAGTAAACTTCCAGAGAGCTGCAAATGGATTTAGAGTTTAAAACATCAATTTTCCTGCTCATCACGTCAGGCATCTGACAAAGAGCCTTCGAGCTGATGCTGTCAGGACTCCCAGGTCACCCTGCCACCCACTGTGTTGACCATTACAGACCTGGAAATTTCTAGGCTTCTTGAGTCAGAGCTCGTCAGAGCTCACCACTCTGGTTGCTAAAGATCTCAGCAATCAATACTAGAAGCTACTATGTTTTATGTATATGTTTTATGTATACCTATGAACAGGTATATGTTTTACCTTTGCTACCTTGCAGATGGCTTCTTAACAGCAGCTGCAAAACTGACTGGATTCTTGTGAATTTGCCAGTTGAGGCTAGTCAGTGGTGAGCAACAGCATCATAATCTCGGTTAGTTTTCAGAATTTCCCATGTCCTCAGCTAGTGATCCTGCAGCAAATAGTTTCTCTGGAAATGCCAAATTACAGCCTGGAAAGATTCAGTTTGTAAAGCATTTTGGTGGGAATTTCAAAGCCCTCTACAGGTTGAGGTAACTCCTTTTCCGGAAGCAGGTAGTTGCTTTTCTCTGACATGTCTAGTCTAGCCAATGAATGGAAGAAAAAAAGATGCCAGGCTTGATAACCCCCTGGACCTGATCCAATGCGGTAAGTGCTTTGCTTAGTTTGGAAAGGTTATAAACCTTTTATTTACTTGATGTGAAGTGCAGGCCCAAGGCTAGTGTGAGAATGTTTGGCAGTGAGAACAAGCAGCACAGGCATTTAGAGAGGTTTTGAGCCTGCCAAGTATTGATCAGCGAGGTTCAGGAATGAGTAGAACATTTCAATTTGGCGTCCATGCATGAGTCTCATCTGTCACAGTGAATTAGCAGCACTTTCATTTCCCTCTAGTCCATCCCGGGCTTTTGTCATTGAAGCATCCCCTTTGCCATATCTATTTGTTAAAAGACAAAGTGAAAAAAACAAACTCACAGAACTTGTGGCCCCAAAAGCCTTGATTATGTTATGCTAGTGTCCTCTGAATTGTGGCTCTGAACAATATCGAAGCATCACTGCCAAAAACCATTAGAGCATAAATGTAATAGATGATCCAAACTACACTTATTTTGTACAGTCACTTAATCCACTAATGGGGGAAATGGAGAAATAGTTGAAGAAAGCAAGAGAACTGTCAGGGATTATTAAATCTACTGGGATGATTTGTTTTGCTAGTCTCTCGTGGGCCAAGTACAGCGTCAGCCAGTGCCTTAATAGCCTTAGACTTAATGCTTTTGATAATTAGAGCAAAACGTGTTGGATCATCAGTCACAACTGCAAATTAAGAGTTATATTTCATCTAGAAGGCCGAATCTTCAACTGGGTATTTGTTACCCTGCAGATCCTCTCTGAGTCACAAGTGGTACCCTGGACTGGCTCATTTGTATGACATAGGGGAGATAGTTTAATATATGCTTACAATTCCATATGAGTGTTTTCTCGAGATGGTTATCAAACAGAAAATATCACAATATTGGACCTCTCAATATAGCTAATACTTCTGCACGTATTTGCTTGATGTTGGTGACTTTTTATTGTGCCGTTCAGAGTTCAGATAGATTTTGGTTTTAGATTTGAAGCATATTTGTCATAACTGCAAAACTAAATAGTGAAAAGAGGAAAATAAAGCAAGCAGAAAAATCAGTCACTGTCAGCTTCAGAAGATACAAAGGAAATCTCATACTGTTCAATATTTAGAGAATATTTTTCTGTAGGTTTCCCAGCTCCACAGTCATATTCAGTTCTGGGTATTGCCAAGACGTGAATGAAGATGAAATGTCACAGATTTCATAAAATTGGAGATGATAGGAAATGCCCAAATCCCCTTGGAGGAACATCAGTAAGCAACTGAGAAAACTGTCAGGAGAGAAGTTCTAGAAAAGAAACAATCTTTGTAGTTTTGGTGGTTAACTGGAAAAAAACCCTTGTGATGAGTTTATTCCATAGTGAAGTCAAGATGGGTTGCTACCTCCTATAACACCACGCTGGTTTTACTTTCGCAGCAGGGGCTATTCTAATTTGTACTGTATCTTGCTGTTGATATATGGGCCTTTGACAGATGTGGTATTTCCTATCTGCCAAACAGTAATCGTTTGATCCCAGGATGAGCGTAATCAAATCCACAGGGACTCAGGGCAGGTTGCTTAGCTGTCATCCTTTGTAATCCCTTATAGCTAATTCTTATACCCTTATTGCCTCCGCTTCTTAGGTCTGAACAAATGAAGAATGAGCAGTTCCTTATGGCTGGAGCAAGGAGTGCTCAGGGTTGAGAAGAACCTGATGTTGATACTATTTTGATACTGATTTTCTTCTTTTTTTTTCTTTTTGTCTTTCACCCTCTGCCCTCCCTTTGCAATGATGCAAAGGGAAAGTTACTTACTCTTATTAGATGGCAGGACCAGGCAGGAACTCTTGCTCAGGTCCTTGTACTTAAACATAAATTTGGACTCAAGTTTAAATATGCTTAGAAACAAAAGAAAAGCCTTGTCCAAGACCTAATTGCACCCCCATTCACTATGGGAGGGGGAGTTGGGGCCCTCCAGACCTTCCTGGAGTTGCTTCCCAGTAAAAAAGGGTGTCTTGAAAAGGGTGACATGAAGTGTGTTGTTGCATACTAGCAAATGCACACTGAATTCCTCATGCATCTACCAGCACCTGTGGCTCAGGACAGCTGTTATGAGGAGAGACCTTACAGGTACGAGAAAGAGAGAATACTAACCTCTCTCTGCTTCCTAACACACATCTGAGGTTCTCTGTTTGAAAGGAATAAATGGCGTCAGAAACATTAAGGAAGTTTTCTTCTGTATGTACAAAGAGTTAACACAATAAGGGCATACTTCTAACCGAGCCTGACCTAAGGCTGAGCCTGAGGAAAAGGCTTTTTCTCCTCCCTTGAACACAGTGCTTGGGCTTAAACCCATCCAGTCTGGTGGTACAGATCCTTCCTAATCTACTGTTCCATGAACTTAGAGTTCCTGCTGCCTGGCTGCCCCAGCAAACGTAACGTATGCTGCTAAATGCTCAGGTGAAAGATAAGGTAGAAGGTAAGTTATGCAGTGAACAAGGATGGGGTAAGGGACGACCCAAATTGGGGCCTAATCTTTTTCAGTGTTCAATTCCACTGGAAGCTGGTTGGAAGCAAATGCCAACAAGTCTCTGTGAACCTGCCACTAAGTATCTCAGTGAAAAGACAATAGAAGATACCCTGGGAGCCATGGAGAAAAGCTTGGTTTGTAGATCCTGGGGGATCAGATGTCTGATCAGATGCCGTTGATGTAGTTAGCATCGCATTGTTAATGACCACGGTCATAAAAAATAACCAGCAACAAAGGGCCTGTTCTGGGACAGCACCCACAGTGCTGCTTTGTCAGCTGCTGGGGAACTAATAAATCAGTCAAGGGATCTCAGGGAGCTCAGTTTCCTGGAGGGTGGGGAACACTGATTTTTCTAAAAAGTGGCATCTGCCTTCCCTAACAAGGGCTGCTTTGCAGCTTGGAATATCATCTCTCCCCTCTGTCACTCCTTTCCATATGCCGATGTACCCTTTCTTCTAAAATCCACCAACCCTCGCTGGATCAATGAGTGCTCATCAATTGTTTTTCCCTCAGAATGATCCGTGTGGGGTGGTTAGTTGAGCTGCTGGCAGTTAACTAGCGACAGCTTTCTGTCTGTTTACTGTAAAGGGAGCTAAGCAAGCTACAGGAGGGGACGGGCTGCAAGATATTTACTGTCAATACAGCCGGAGAGAGAGAGGAGCTATAAGGAGACAGGAGCAGAGACTGCAGACTGCAACCCAAATGAATGATCTGAGTGTAAAAATACCCATACAGTTTCAGAAGGAAAGTGGGTGGATTGAAGTCAACAAGGGAGAGCCTAAGTGCTTAACAAATGGTTTAGAGAAAGACTAGAGAGACCAGGGAAGTACTTGTGGCACACAAAATAATAATGCTGGGCTGGAGCACAGTGACTCTGAAACACGCTTCTAGATCTGCCCAGAGACCAAGCGGGAACTGGGACATTTTTGTGAGTTCCTGCAAGTCCCACCATTTAAAAATAGTGGTAATATGAATAATAATGATTGAGCTTAACAAATAATATTTGAATCTAGTTCTCCTAGGCAGCTGGAACTCAGACCAGAAGAAAACAGGCATTGCTTCTCCTTGCTTCCTTTCTTCTCTCTCCTCTTCATTCACAGAGGACTTAAGTGGCCTGAGCTTCACAGGACAAGAAGCAAGCCCTGAATGTCCCTCTGCTGCCAGAGCCAGGCGAATGAGTGCGGAGTGAATTCACATATTAGAGACCGGTGAAGAAAATCTTGCCATGAAACCATTCAGAGATGATGATGTAGAAATTTACATCCACAGCAAGGTAAGATTTATCTGTCCAGATTCCCCCTCTTCCACACTAGGTGTTGGAAGAGGTGTCTGAAGGATGCCGAGTTAGTTGCTTGCCTGCTGCCTTCCTCTACAAGATGAGACGGGGTGAGATCTCATGAGAACTATTTCTAGTTCTCATCTAACGAGTTCTCAGTCTAGTGAGATTTCCATGTTTCCGGTACAGAATGTTGTCAGGGATCTTAGCTGGTGGTTTAATTTCTTACGGTGGTTGTCCTGTTTTTCTTTACCTCTCAAATTTTTGCTCCCCACGTTGCTATTCCTTATAGGAAGCTAGCTGTCATTGTAAATGTTTAATCTAAAGAAAGATCTTTGCTCCCTTCCCTGCCCAATTGTCTTGGCTTGATGAAAACAAGATCAAAAGCACAACAATAGGAATTGTGTCTCAGAAAGATGTAGAAACTGGACTGAGATGGACGCAATTAGAATTGTCCCACCAATCTGTCACCTCAGCTAGGGATACTTCTCTACATACCCGCGGCATAATAGCATAAGTTTCATTAGTGGAGGCAAGTGGGAACCCCATCTTCTGTTTTATGGAGTATTCTGGCAAGCTAATGTATTTTTTCCACAGTGAAATTAAGCAAAACACAATAAAAATCATGAATGAAGCTTTACTTTCAAATAAAATTTATTCTAAATTAGTTGCAATATTTAATTTTATTAAAATTGATATGCTTCATCACAGTGCTTAGCTAGTTTCTATTTGATAGTCTGTTTTCCCTATAAAATGTAAAAAAAAAAAAAAGAAAAAAAGGTCAGTATGAAAATCTGTAGGGCTTTATTTTCTGAAAGGGATAAAATGTTCCAGTACCATGAAAGTTCTGTGAGCAAAGCTTTGCTTTGTCTGTGGAAATGTTTTGGTTACAAGTAGGTATGTTCCTTTAAAAACTTTGATTTTCAGCCACTTACAACAGTGAACACTTTTCTGATATTTCTAATGCAGGGCTACGAATGAGAGGACAGAGGGAAACCACACACAGGTGGATGCTCATAAGAATGCCATAAGTACAGGGAACATGGACAGAGTACCATTAAATGAGGTTCAATTGTGCCAGCATTTTAGGTTCTACCAAAAGTTGCCCACCCCAAGAGTATCTTTTCCAGCAGCTCTCTGGCTCTGATGGATCCTTAGTTTCTGCCCGCTGAGTCTCCTGTGCAAGTAAGACTATCCAAACTTCAGTCAACTTAGCTCTACCTGTAAAATTTTGCCCATTTTTTCAAATTGAGTCAACTATCAGCTGCAACAAATCTCTCCGATACCAGAGATTTCTGCCCTAAACCACTCATTCAGCAGTGGAAAACTCAAGTATTTATTGAGTAGAGTAGATAGGAACAAACCCAAGTTTTCATTTGAATCCCTAGTCAAGTCTCTTCCTCTTTTCCTCATTAGAGCAAAATGTTAATCAATGTTGTTGTTCTGTTGCTGTTGCTTGTTTTTTTTTCATGACTTTAAGTTAAGTCTGGGAATGGGAATTCCAATAGGTGGCAGAAATGGCTGATTCTACCTCTTCTCCCAGCATTTCCATGCTGATGCTAAAGAAATCTTAGATAAATGCCTTGGTTCTACTCTCTCCCCTTCAGATCTGTATGCCTTCCCTTCTGTAGGAAGGGTATATTTTACAGTAGTGGATTGTATTTTACAGCAGTAGATTAGGTGGCACGACCATCATCTGTCACCTGTCATTTGTTCCTTTATATCATGAGGGGTGCCTGCAGCAGGTGCAGGAGTTGTTTTGAGATACATCCTATAGAAAGTGTTTTGAGAGTCCGTACTCTTAAAAAGATTTCATGCCAACTGCTGCAGTCTGGCCAGTCGGTGATGAAGGCAAAATTAAATTAAGCCAGGTTGGGTTGGATGGATTCTCCTCGGGAAATGGAGGTAGCAGAAAGTGTAGGAGGTAGCACTGGAAAAAACTTGGTGCGAGCAAGGAATATAGGGGCACTCCTGGACCTCAAGTTGAGGTGACCTATAGTAATTATATACAGAAAGAGTCTGCTTTTTGTGTCTGCAAGCTATTAGAGGTGGCCCACTCTGACTCTCATATTATTTGCTTATTGGAGGAACTATTAGCAGATTTGTCGAGCAGTTCAGCTTCTGGGCAAATGTAAAAATTACAGAGGAAATAGCTATTGCTGGAGATAGAGAAGCGACCTAAATGAAATCTGAAACAAAGATACGAGAACAAACTTGAGCTAAAAAAAGAAAATCAGAATAACTTTTCTTAAAAAGAAGAGAAGAGAAAGCCATTGCAGGCTATCTAAAATTGGTCTCAAAGAACAAGACTGAATTGAAATGATGAGGATGGAGAATTCTTAAGGATGTTAAATAATACTCTAGAAACATAAGAAACTACATATAGATAACAGCAAAGAATCAAGATGTCCAGGGCAGATGACCTCAGTGAAGGGAATATGATGCTGCTTTGATGTATTTCCTATTTTCAAGTACTATTCAGGCTTATTGAAAATATTGTTACTGTTAATAGCCAGAGAGAAAAAAAACTTAATCCAGCTTTACTCATTTTCAGGGCCAGTGTCAATCGCTCTTACTTGGTTAACTGGCCTTATGCAAGCACTAGTCTTTTTAATGGTTGTAGTATGGTCCATTGTTATGGAAAAATGTGCAGCTATTTGTCATCTCCCAAGGCATGAAAATAAGTCTACATGCATTTGAGGTATTTTTCTCATAGTTCACCATTTTGAGATAGATATCCAGAATTTCCTAAGAGGGAGAAAAATGTTGTTAGACACTGAAGACAGAGCTAAGTAAGCAGGACGCAGGAGTTTTTCTCTTTGGTAATAAGACTGTAACAATTGTATTTAGCAATGTTTTGATCATTGACTTAACCAAGCTGCTAATGACCTGACGCTCTTGCAAATTGCCCATTTGGGGTTTTCTCAACTGGAGTAGGTTTTCATTTTCTCTGATCCCAAGTCTCTGGTCTTCTGCATTTCTTTTGCTCTTATTGTGTGCTCCAAACAAGGAGGTATGATGAGGAAAACCCAAGCACAAACGAAAGCAAGAATTGCAAATAAATGAGATAAAGCATCAGGATGTATAAAAGGACAGCAAGCGATCTTCAGGGGTAGTTCTGCCTGGGTAGTTCTCGATTAGATAGATAGAACATTGAAAAACATATTAACGAACTGAATTAAGAGTAGCTGAATTTTGTCCTCATTTTGGTAAATATGCTAAGATCCTTTGGCTAATATGTAAATGTCCTTTACTAAAATGGTTCCTCCATGTTCATTCTATTCTATTCTTCTATGAATAGAACATTCTGTATGAATCTTTGTGTTTGGATTTTAATTCTTCCCTTAGGTTCCATTCATTCCAGTGGTATGTGAAGGTTCAGTTTCATATTTATTTTTCTGAGCTGTCCATCGTTCATCTCAATCCTTCACTGAGATTTTCCATTTAAATATTTTTAATAAGCAATTCTATTATTACTGCTTGAATTGAAGATGTATCCAGCAACTCACACAACCACCTTGTCCCCAGTGGGACCAGCTTCTCAGCACTGAGGAATGGCCTCTCACCCGTGCTTCAGATACGAGGACTAATAAAGAAGATGGATGCTTTTGACACATTATTTAGGCATCTAGATGCTGCCATGTATATCAGTGATCTAGCACACAGAAGATCTGTAAACTTTGACGTCCTGCCACCTCATAGAAAATAATACACCTGAGGCTGTGGGTGACTAGTATATGCAGGAGAGTAGCAGGACAGTCCATCCAAAATTGCTCAAGATTGAGACTAGAGCTGCTTACTACCAAAAATATCTATGTAATAAACTCCTTCCTCCATCCAATGGTATCAGCGTGGGCATATCAATTGGAACCTGGCATTTTTGAGTGTAGGCCCCTCTGTGTTCACCAAGAAGAACTCTGTCTCATGGTAAGTTGGAAGTTGGTAACGAACGATCAGTGCAGGGTGGGTAGGCACAAATGTTTCAATATGCTCTAGGTTGAGTGACTGTTTCCAGCTGGAGATAAAGACTGCAGTTATCTGTAATGTGAAGTGTCTTGCTTGGAACTGACAGGTCCTGCCACGGCACTATCTGGTATCCAAAGCAGTGGAGGAGGTGCAGAAAATCGTCCAGCAACTGACCTCAGAAATCAGCCGTAAGGCCTCACGATTCCAGCCTATCTACAACTCTGGCATTCATAATGAGAATATTAAGGTACGAACAAGAGCTTTAGTGAACTTAGCTTGCAGGCAAAGTGTTTTTTTAACTGCCTTATTGTCTGTAATGAACAGATACATCTATCCTTCAAGACACCACAGATAATAAGTTGACAATTTATTGTGGAAGGTTTAGTGGGTGACTGGGTTGTAGAGGATTACTCATGGACATCTTTCAGCTTGAGGAGCATCAGAGGGGGCTGGGTAAATCAGACAGAGCTTCTTTTTACAACTGCTTCTTTTACGAAGAGCTTCTCTAGTGAGAACTTTCAATCTACAAGCAGAACATGAAGCCCTTGGGAGAGGCAGAAAAAAATATATAGTAGTAGTAGTAGAAGAGAAAAAATCTTGTGCTTTTATGAGCTATAACTCATTTTCCACAAGTGGAAAACCCATCAGCTTACTAAAACAAAAAAAAGGAAAAAAAAAAACTTTGCCACTAAGAATATTAGAAAGCATCTTCGAAAAAAAAAAAGTATTTTTTTCCTGATAATGGATTGAATTTTTCCTTCTTTTTTTTTTTTTTTTTTCTTGGAAAGAAATACAGTTGCTAGTGGGAGAAGTGAAATATTTCCTCATCTTAAACAATCAGATCCAAAATAATAATGCCCTGTCCTAGCTCTGCCAGGACTGGTTGTTTCCTGTGTCTACTTAGGCAAGAGTGTCTAGTATAAGGATATAAGAACGAATCAAAGCATGGATGGTAAAGACCTTTTTCACCCGGAGTAGCTTACCTGCTCTAGCTATGCCAGTGCTTGTACTGAAATGCAGGCAGCTGGGGAGCAAGGCACAGCAAGTAGGTAACAGCGTAGGGCGACTTTTGCAACAGTCTAGGTGTGAAAGGAAAGAATTCTGTGTGCACCAGCGTGCTGGAGGGATGTTGAGGTGGGTGCAGAATGGGATCGTCCAGTCTGGAATGTGGCCATTGCTTTGAGCCCTTCGGATTTACATCTCTCCTGGCATACCATGAAATTCATGGCATGAACCTTACCAGTAAGAGTGCCCACATCCTATCCATGCGCAGCCCTTATTGCTGTGCTCTGCGTCCACTGCTCAAACTGGATTGCTTCTGCGTGGCTTAGGCGGTGTGACAAGATAAGGGTCAATGTAAGATTACTTGGAATCTTTGTTGGAAAACAAAACACAACAAAAATTTACACTGACTTTTCAGAGTTTCCGCCTTCTGGTTAAGAGGATTTAATTTAGCATGCTGAGAGTCTAGATCTATTGCAAAGCTATAAGCCTCCTTTTAAATATACAGGGCTGGATGGGGAATTAGAGAAAATTTCTTTAAATATTCAGAGTTTCTCTGCAACTCTAGGAATCAAAATCAAAGCCAAAAACTTCAGTGAACACATTTACAACTTTCTCAAGTGTTAAATATGTCAAAAGTATTCATTGTGCATTAACTTACTCAAACACTGTGGCTCTTCTCAGTGTGAAACTCATCCAATTCCTTTCCATGTAGTTACATACTTTTCAATGGAAAACTACTCCAGCTTCAGTAAGAAATCATTCAATTCAAGTGTATTAAGGGATCCTGCCAAAGAAAACGGTGTGTGCTTCTATTCTTCTGGTACATGTAAGGAGAAATGGAATGAAAATAGTATTGTTTTTAATTTATAAATTCTGACAGATTAAACCAATCCAGGCTCCCAGAATCATTGCCTACACCTTGTGGATATTTGATAGCACACATGGGGGATCTGTTATGGTCTTCCCTAAACAGGGAGTGGAAGGATGCCAAACTCTTGAGATGGCCTAAAAGCCCAGTCCAAGTGGCATCACTCAGGAAGATGTGCTTCAATCAGCATTTTGGTAGTAGTGGTCCATGCAGGACTGAGACAGGAGCTGTGTGGGCTTCAGTAAGGCATAGTGAGCAGGTTAACCACCCACAGTAGCTACTAGCACAGTGTTGTAAAGTGTTTAAATCTGTACCCATGACAGGAGGGAGTTTCTTCTTACCATCAGGCTCGAAGGAGGTTTGCAACTTTGCTCCAGCGTGTGCTTTTTCTCTCTTCTGTGTATCTCTTGTTTTCCCTTCTGCTACTCTCAGGATCAGCCAGCTTTACAGGCCAAGTGGTCAGCTCTGCTTCAGGGAAAGCGCCCGTTCCACTCATCCATCCAGGTACAAATTCTTCGTGCCACATGGCTCCTGCTGATCGGTGTGCCTGCTCCCTCCTCGTCCATCCTCTTTTCCAGACAACTCCACCCACCCAACTTCACCTCCCATGACCATTCAGCCTCTCCACAACAGACTTCCTTATTTGCTCAAATATTACAATGTTATTACAATAGAATTAGCCATAAGTTGCACATCCTTGAATTTGAGGCTCTTGTTTGCTACCGCTAGCTCTGTGATTTGTGGGGGCTTGCACTCTTGATAGGGTTCATAACGCTGTTCTGTGACAAGAGCACGAGCGTGGGACAGGGGTTTGTTCAGCTCAGGACACCACCTGCTCCATGGTAAACCAGCTTTATGGCTACATCACCGGAATTGTGATTTCTGGGGTTTCCTCACAAACAGGAAGCCTTGTGATGCTGAGCAAAAGTTTTTAAAAATAACGTTGGAAGGGTTTGGTGGATTTTCTCTCTATTATGGCAATGGAGAAAAAAGTTTTGTTTGGCTGGATTTTTTTGAAGTCATCTGAATGAATATCATTAGCTATTTGGAAATCAGCATGTAAATACCAAAGTGCCTCCAATGTTTTCTAATTATTTTTCAACCTCATATTTTTATTGAACTGTACTCATATAGCAGCTTTCCCTTTAAAATCTGTTGAACAGCCATTACCAACCATTTTTCTACTAACAGTACTATTTTGTTGCTTACTGTCACTTGATAGGGATGTGATTTGGTCTTTTCTTCCCTTTTAGCTGTATTTGGTACAAACACAGCCTCTCAAAGCAATATTTTAGCTTGGTCAAGCAGGATTTTTGCTTATCTGTGTCGTGTACAATTTCATGTTATGTCCTGTGACCTTTCTCCTTGGACTTTTAGCTGGACTGGCATTTCTTGTGGAGCACCCAAGCCCATCTGGTTTTGAATAGGACTGTTGCAGCTTGTATAACTGAATATAAGTCAAAATCTTGCTATGGAAAAGAACTGACTCTTTTCTTTGCCCTAAACATTGGTCTGTTAGAGCCCTAAGGGCCTTGGCACCTCTACAGTAATGTTCTAAATTAGAAGACCAGGAGGACTACAAGAACGTATTGGATTATTACTGGTGAATGACAAGAGTTTTTAATTTACGTTGAGGTAACCACCTTACAGCAACTGCTGTCACTTCACATCCTGTTTATGTAACAGCTACACCTTATTAATGCCAGTGTAAGTTAGGCTTGTTGAGAAGTGAAGCTGAAAAGCTTCTGAATCAACATGGTAAAAGTCTGAATGAGTTTCAGCTTCATATCTGAGCACCTGGAGCTAAGATTGCTGAAGACTGCAATACATCTGGAGATGTCTGGTGATGTTCTAAACCCACGTGAGGCTTCAAAATGTTTGTGTGGCCCCTGTTTTCATTGATGAATGGTTATCCTCAAAAAGAAGCCAGTATTGATTGCAGACAAGCCTACCTGTGGTTTTGATATCCATTGGTTACTGTTTCCATCTTTACAGTGTTTTTGGCTTCCACTCAACAGAAGATAAGATTTCATACAGCACAGCTGGCCAAGACTTCCACTAATGTATGACTGTGTCACTGCTATCTGTGTAGCCTTGGGAACATCACTTACATTTTATGTACCTTATGTCTCTTAATTATATTTAAGGACAATATTTAGGACAATATTTCCAGTGATGTGGAACGAAACACTGATTAATGGACCAAAGTCTTATTTTACTAGTATCTTTAATGGATTTTGAGGGAGAATAGAAAAGTGCACCTTTTCCTAAAGTTGTTACTAGTGCTAAACTCAAGACATATCTAATAACAATTCTGATGTAATAACTAGCACTATTTTGTCTCCCATTGCTGGATTTCAAAGCACATTCTCTGACGCTCTTCTGATTCTTGGAATTGCTACCTATTACCTCTTATGCACTTGCACAGTAGAAGTAATAAATAATGAGGAGATATATAATGTAAAAAAATAATGTAGCAGCAGTGGTGATAAATCAGCTGACTCTGCCTTTATCTAATATGCACCATGGCTGTAACTTTATATTTCCTCTAGGACAAATTTTTCTTATTCTGTGTATTTCCAAAGTAACCCTCAGAAAGGCATGGAGTAGATCCCACCTACTCCAAGGAGTAGGTCCTACACGTATTCAGTTGTTCTCATGGTACCTGACTTTTCCCTTTGCTTCTTTAATCCTCCCCTCCCTGCTTTGGCTTCGTGAATCTGCCCTTGCCTCTTCTCTCAGTCTCTTCTCTCTGAACTCTCCTAGGTCTTAGCACCCAGCCAGTTCGTCATCACCGTCCCTCTGCGTGGCCTGTTTGGCTACAGGGAACACCAGACACGGCACTGGCGTTACTACACCGTGCAGGGAGCCAAGCTCCACTCCTCCGTGCGGGACCCCGAGGAATTGCACCAGTGGCTTGAGGTGGAGCAGTTCGCCAAAAGCCTTCCACAATGGCATGAGAACGACGTGAACATCGAAGGGGATCTGGTTCCAGCCAAAGTCCTGACCGTCTTCCGGGAGCTGGTGGAGAAGTCAATTATCTCCTGTAACCTTTCCAGTGAGTTTAGTGGGGACAGGTATAAGGGGAACTGCTTGTTTTGAGCAACTGATAGAGCAGAAGACACCGCAAGCACAGACTGGTTGGTTGGCAAGTTTACACAGCCAGAAATCAAAGCAACCCAAACCTCTCAAAATCCAGGAGTTACTACGCCATGGCAGTGATGTAAATCTGCATCTGGATTGAATATAGAATTGAGTAGTGGTTTTCCAGACTCAAGACTTTGCTAATATCTTAGCAATTTGAGTATGTTTGTCAGCAATATAACTTTCACAGTCCCATCAACATACAAATAGCATTTTTTTTCTATAGCAGACACAATATGTCTAGATTTGCCAGAAAAGTAGTATAAGAAATTTTGACATGAGGAAGCTGTGTAAGTGGGAGGGAGGAGTGCAAAGTGGTTGGAGATATAGGGAAGAAAAGGGAATCCTGAGCTGCCCATAGCAAAACCTGTTGGGCAAGTACTGTTTTTCTGTTTTTTTAGCATTGCTTCATAGCTGTGACATCTACAGCAAGTTACTGCCTGAAAAGTGATCCTCATACCTAGTTATTAGCACACTAGAGGCATGTTATAGAGTCCAGCTGATAAAGTTTGGTCCATGATAGATAATCTATGCCCATCTTTTCATGTTAAGATACTATGGTATGGTCAAGTTCAAACTTTAATGCCTCTTGTGATGGGATGTTTCCAGGATGACTGTACACATATGTCTCGTATGATAATGAGACTTCCTACATTCCAGAGAGATAGATTCCAGATTTCCTCTTCTGATCACATTCTGAATTTTAGTCACAGAAGGAAAGACGCATTTAAGTCAAGCTCATCTAGATCATTCTATTCTTCTAGGAATTATTAGTGATCACAGGAGAGAGAAGTGTGATGTGAATGATATTTCACCCCTGAGATGCACAGGAAAGATCAGATGGAATGAGCTTACCTCTCATGTTTTAGTTATATAGAACTCACCATGCTGAGGTGTAAACCTGCCATCCTGTCCAGCAGCAGTTCGTCAGGCTGTTGAGTCAGAACAGGCACTTCCAAGAGACCCAAGCAGTGATATCTGGGCTGGTGTCTGAGGCTTCTTCTGCACGGCCAGTAGGGAGAAGATAGACATATAGAAGAGATAAGCTGAGATGGTGGGATGGTCAGGAGTAATTCCTTTTTTTTTTTTTTTTTTTTTTTTTTTGTGAAGAGTGAAATTTCTTTTTTCCATTAACACATCTGATGTTATATTTAGTTTTTCCTGTTTTTTTCAGTGCTTCACTTTACCATTTTGTAGAAAAATTGGTAGCACAATCATGATGCTTTTGGAAGTGCTGTGATTGTATTTTCATTCTGACATAGTGCTGGCTGTGGTGCTTTTTAGCTTCCAGAAATCCCTATTGAGGATTGTAAAATTCTTGTGGGGATGGACTCTACTGTTGCAAGGTAATTCACTCCAGTGCCCACATAAAGCCATGTTTCCTGGAGGAGATGCTATATCTGCCATTGGTAGCAGGCAGGCATTTACTCTGTGAAGACAGAAGAGGTTGTTGTCCTAAAAGTTAGTCACAGTCCCTGAAGCCTGTTGTGTGAACTCCTTCAGGAATTTCTTCCCAGCCTATGTCAATTAAAATTACATAGGCTAACATACCTACTATTTAAACTCTTTATGCTAATCTGCTCCATCTTTTAATTCAGTGGGTTAGAACACGAGTACAGAAGTAGTTCAGATGGCAGAGCTGAAGGGACAGCGATCCTGCCGGAGTGACTGGGAAAGCTGAGGATGGAAACTTATTCCATTAACACAAGTGGGCCAACAGGAAACATCCAGTCAAATCTATTAGATAGAGTTTCATTCCTTTTTGCTCTCCTTCTCAAAGAACGTTGTTCCTGGAACTGAGACATTCATCTTTCACTGAGGAAATCTTGTTTCTCCAAGTCAATATGGAACTAACTCTTCTTTTTGACATCATCAAGCAATCATAGTCAGACAAGCAGTTAATCCATTTTGTGTAGTTGCTCTGCCAACAAAGAACATCAAACAGGTGTGCCTATAAATTCTGGCACCCGCTTTTGTGCAAGTTCTCCAGAAACAAACCTGTATACATCCCATGTAACATCCCAATTGACCAGTGATCACAGATTTTCTTAAGGATTAAGGAATCTTTAGATAGGAAGTGAAAATAAAATTAAGAACTTAGTTGTTCATCTTCTTATTCTCATTCCCATGATTTTCTTCCATTCTCTTCATGTTGTTGAAGAGAGAGTGCTTAGATAGACTGATGGAACTGCAAAGTCCTTCTGGAATGCAGGCAGTAGCCAGCCCCTTTCTTGGCTTGTAGAAAATGATCTCTTCCCCTTTATGATCTTACCCTGTTGTTCCTTCACAGATAAAGTGACAATGCTGGAGAGCTTCAGCTCAGTGGTCCGGGTGGCTGTGGAGACATCCGAATTGCAAGTTGAGGTAGAGCTGGCCCCCGCTGTGGAGATTCCAACTTGCTGGCCCAAGAAATCCAAGTGGCCCCGTTGCTTTAAGCATTGGCCTTCTCAGGAAAAAGTGCAGTGCATCAAGGTAAACGGTGTTTACTTGTTGACTATTATCTCTGTGCAGGAGCTTAACCTTGCAGATGTCTGACAGTGGTTCCTGAATTTTATCTCAATTAAAGCTTATTTCATTTTTTTAAAATATCTTTCAATTGAAAATATTTATTTTGTGTAATAATTTGCACACAGTGCAGAGTAATACCTTAGAAATATCAGTGCAGGAAAGGGGTGCTTCAGTTAAAAAAACATAAGAAATGGTACCCAAGTGAGCTAGATGGTTCTTTGTGCCATCTGCATGTTTCCAAACTTCTTTGATTCAGAATTTCTGAATCAATTTGTTTGTTCCCAGGCTAAGTAATAAAAGCCAGTGCTCCTTCCTTGCCGCTCAACAGTTCTGGAAGACGTATTCGCTCAAAAAGTAATATTTCCAAATACTGGGATTTTCGTTTCCCTAGTGGTGGTAAATTCTGTGGAAGAAAACCGAATTAACTCTCTTGCATGAGCTGCTTCCACACAATATAGCTCCGTGCTGACCTGGATCATTCTTGCTGTTCTGGTTTGTCCCATGTAGATGCATGTAAATGGACCACTCATTGTCTTGCAGTCTCCCCTCCAGCCTAGTCCCATGTCTCCCTACAAGTCTTGTGGCTGGATACTGCCCCTCCAGTTTAGTCCCATTTGCCATGTTCTCAGCAGGTCCATTTCTTCCGTTGAGTCCCACTGTCCTTTCACTCCTGACGGGCTGCTCCATGGCACGGTGCTCACAGAGTTGTGCCTCTGCTTTGGTAGTACCTCTTGTGCTGCAATCTGGCAGCTCTAGGGCCGCATCTCCTGGGAGCAACCGATGCCAGAATGTGAGGAAACAAGATAAATCGAACGTTCATTTAATTAGGAATTAGGATGGGAATACAACCCAAGTTTGCTGCCTCAGCTAAAGCTGTTTAAAATACAGTGCTCCACTTCGAAAGACATCACACAGCCTCCTCATAACATCCTTTTGCGTTCCTGTTCTCCTTTTGTCCATAGTCACTTGGTTTTGACCTCCTGGCCCGCTCCAGTTACCACTGGCAGCTGTGCTTCTTCCGTGCTGAGCACGTACTCATGCAGGGGCTCGATGAAGATGGTGGTTGTCGCATGAAGTGCTTCCGAGTCATGAGGCAGATGAAGGAAGATGTCTGGTGTGCTGGGAATAAGCCTGTCATCACAGCCTATCACCTTCAGGTAGGCATCATCAGAATATTGGGAGGGAGAGACTCCAGGACTTCCATCCAACAATGTTGTAATATCATAGCAAAAAAACACTCTGGTCTCTCCTATGCAACTTCTAAGATAACTTCTAAAACTGCAGTGCCACTTCTTTGCTTTACAGTGGTAGGAAGTTTAGTAAAGGTATGGTCCTTACTTCGACAAGAAACCTGTAGGACCATTATGGTGTCAGCAGTGTAAGTAATGTCAGAACTGAAGAACCTGCTCTGGTTGTACTTCACACAGGTGTTGCAGTACAGTCTTTAACTGTATGGTGCCATTCTCCCTGACAATGCTAGCCATGCACAGCCAACAGCAGATGGATCCATCTCTAGGAAACTTGTTTGTTTTTCTTCCTGGGTGCACACCAAGCAAAATTCTCTTAAATGAATGTGGTTTTATAAGTGAACTGCAAATTGACATTTCAAGTATTGTTCTATGTAGGAAGAGAGATGAAGGAGCAGGTTATGGGACAGTTGCATCCTCCTCACACATACTTTAGGGTTTAGGATGGCTTTACTCTAAAACAGTGTTTGTGAGGAATGTATAGGAGGTTGTGTCCTCCATATTACAGCTACAAAAACCAATGGACGAAAAGCAACACCTTTTGTCTGTTGCTAAAGCAATCCTGTTTTCTGGGCCTTCATCTTCCTGGAGTTGACAGGAAGAGGCTGCTCTATCCTGTCCTTCAAGTCTCAAGCCACCAGGCTTCTGCAATAATTACCAGGCTTCTGCAATAATTGCAATAATTATTCTGCAATATTTTGGTGCCCAAAACCAGGTGCAATGCCAAGCAGCTGCCTAGACCTTGCGACCATCAAATGCTGTAGTAGTTATGGGACCAATCTAAATCAAGGTAGAGTTTGAAAGGAAAAAAAAAAGTCTAGGCTGGTTATGATGGTTATGGAGACAACTGATTGACCAAATGGTAGGAATGTTTCAATATCACTTATAAAAGAAACTATGAGGAGATACAGTCAACAAATAAATCAGCAGCTGAGGAGAAGCTGTGTTAGATTTTCCTCATTATTAAGTTTTCCCATCTGAAGTATCCAACAATGACAATGAAACAAGACTTCACCTGAAAAACAGGGCATTCTATGACAGAATAAAACCTTCCCCTAGTAGTTAGAAAGCTTCAGCGGACAGAGTAAACACACTTAGTGTGTCCTCCATAGGAACAAAGTTCAAGATCTGAGTGTCCAAAAGACCTACATGACTTTAAAAAGCAACTCCATGTCCCCTATATACTATGGTATTTAAATAAATGCCAGGAATAGATCATCCATTTGTGACCTGACTGAAAAAGTAACATTATTTTCTTCACCTCCAAAACTTCCTTTATAATGGCTGGCCCTGCAGCTCTTTGAGATAGTTTTAGTACTGAGGAAAGGTAGCTGGTCTGCAAACCAAAAAGGAGTGTTTTTCACTGAGTTTTATCCTGAATTCCGCATTAAATCTTTTGTTACCTGGCAACATTAGAGTCATTATTGCAGCTGCAAACAAAAACTTGTTCACATTTCAAGAGCTGTCTGAGAAGAAATTCTTCAGCACCACAACTATTGCAAGGCCAGCTGGAGGGAAAATATAGGCAATCCAGAAGCATGGGAGTTATTTTGATGGAATTCTAGTTAGGGACTTGACCACTTCACACAAGGTTTGGTAGTCTCTTTGGAGTACTGAATTTCCAAAATAAAATTGGGACTGAGAACAGGCAACTTAATGGAATCCTTACACCCATGATGGATGATTCTTTCCTTTTAAAACTGACTTGCAGTTTGACAAAAACAGTTATTGTGGCACTTTTGGTACAGTAACTGTAAGCACTTCCAGAGGATTCTTCTCAGCCATATAAATGTTTGTAAAAATGTAGCATGGGCAGTGTAAGAAAAGCACTATAAAAGGAATGCTCATCTGCATTTCATTATTGTAATTATGGATAGTCTCAAGTATAAAATTCTGTGAAATAAACTTGGAGGGACAGGGAAGTTATCATATGCCATAAATATATACCAGAAAACATGCCTTATAACCGCGAGAGTTGCTTGGGATCTCAATCTGCAGGGGACACAGGTCAGCATAAGTGCACTGAAGCTAACAAGGAATTATGTTAGTCTGATTCTTCTTTCCTCCTTGCACATATTGACTTCTAAACCTGTATAATTGGCCATTTTCTGCAGTCTAAAATACCTGGCATTTATACTGATGCCGCTGCTGGGCAAATAGGCTAACATTAGCTTAGCAAGACAAGAGTTCTTGGGCTCAATGTAGCTCTGAGGAAAGAAAGCAGGAACATCTCAGAGTTGCCCTGCTTGATCCCTGGAGGAGACTTTCTCTCTGCCTTAATAAGGTCGCAAGACAAAGACAATGAGGAGACAGCCATGGGAGGCTTTGGGTAGGAAGGCTTTGCCTTAGGCTCCTATTTGTGATCCTTTTACCTCAGGAACATTAGTTAACACAGGAAGCTTGCACTTGTGAATCTCCAATTTTAAAGCCTGTCAACCATCTACCAGCAGTTCCTTAGTAAGCTGTGTGAGCCCTCAACAGAACCTCTAACACCTCTTCTCTCCCATCTGCTTCTTACAGACGGTGCTATTCTGGACGTGTGAAAAATACCCACGCACCAAGGACTGGTGCTGCTTTCGCGAAGCCTTTCTGAGGCTGGTACGGAAGCTGCACAAGTGTGTAAGCCAGCACTTCCTCAAGCATTATTTTGTGAAGAACACCAACCTGCTCAAATACACCAACACCAGCGACCTGGACCTGGTGGCCAACAAGCTGGCGGTCTTCTTGGAGAACCCCGTGCTCTGCCTAGACTGAGGCAGGACAACCTTGCCCCTGTTCCCCACCTCCTCTCCCCACCTGTGGTTGTTCTTTGCGTCCTTCCAGGAGACATTTCAGCTGGCTTGGTGAGACATTTGGCACATGCAGCATGAAGGGGAAGAGTCAAACTGGCAGCAGTGGGCAGTGAAAACTGATGGGAGAACTTGCTCAATGCCCAGACGATCCAATTTGCTTTCAACAGTGACAGCCTACATGGAAGTTACTACCGGTGCAAACCAATTGTCCACATCAGTGAGGCAACTGCCTTGTCCTCTGTCACTAGTCCCGTGGCTTGTAAACAGAAAGACCATGCAGAGGAGTCTCCCTGCTGCTCCTGCCCATCTGTTGAAAAACTTAACACATATATTCTTGCCATTCTCTCTTCTCTTGCAAGGACAATTTATGGGCTCAGATGGGATGCACCCAAGAGTGCTGAGGGAATTGGCCGAGGTTATTGCTCAGCCTCTCTCCATCAYCYTTGAGAGGTCCTGGAGAGCAGGGGAGGTGCCCGAGGACTGGAAGAGAGCCAACGTCACTCCAGTCTTCAAAAAGGGCAAGAGGGAGGAGCCGGGCAATTACAGGCCGGTCAGTCTCACCTCCGTCCCTGGAAAGGTGATGGAGCGGTTCATCCTAGAGAGAATCTCCAGGCATATGGAGGAGAAGAAGGTGTAGAGGAGCAGTCAGCAGGGATTCACCAAGGGGAAGTCATGTCTGATGAACCTCATAGCCTTCTATGATGGGGTGACAGACTGGCTGGACGAGGGGAGAGCCGTGGATGTTGTCTACCTTGACTTCAGCAAGGCTTTTGACACTGTCTCCCATAACATCCTCATACAGAAGCTCCGGGAGAGTGGGCTAGACGAGTGCACGGTGCGGTGGATCGAGGGCTGGCTGGATGGCAGAGCTCAGAGGGTGGTGATAAATGGGGCCGTGTCCAGTTGGAGGCCTGTGGCCAGTGGTGTCCCCCAGGGGTCAGTGCTGGGCCCAGTGCTGTTCAACTTATTTATCAATGACCTGGACGAAGGCACGGAATGCACCCTGAGCAAGTTTGCAGATGACACCAAGCTGGGTGGAGTGGCCGACACTCTGGAGGGCTGTGCTGCCATCCAGAGGGACCTGGACAGGCTGGAGAGTTGGGCCGAGAGGAACCTCATGAGGTTCAATAAGGACAAGTGCAGGGTCCTGCACCTGGGGAGGAATAACCCAGGCACCAGTAAAGATTAGGGCTCGACCTGCTGGAAAGCAGCTCCACGGAGAGGGACCTGGGAGTCCTGGTTGACACTAAGTTAACCATGAGTGAGCAGTGTGCCCTNCGTGGCCAAGAAGGCCAATGGGATCCTGGCCTGCATCAGGAGGAGTGTTGCCAGCAGGTCAAGGGAGGTGATTCTGCCCCTCTACTCAGCTCTGGTGAGGCCGCACCTGGAGTACTGTGTGCAGTTCTGGGCTCCCCAGGACAAGAGGGACGTGGAGCTCCTAGAGAGGGTCCAGAGAAGAGGAACCAAGATGACTAAGGGACTGGAACATCTCTCGTATGAGGAGAGACTGAGTGAATTGGGCCTGTTTTCTCTGGAGAAGAGAACGCTGAGAGGGGATCTGATTAACATGTATAAGTTCAGGAAGGGAGAATGCAGGGAGGAAGGGGACACGCTGTTTTCATTGGTGGCCAGCGATAGGACAAGGGGAAATGGGCATAAGCTGAAACACAGGCAGTTCCATCTCCAGGTGAGGAGGAACATCTTCCCTGTGAGGGTGACAGAGCCCTGGCACAGGCTGCCCAGGGAGGCTGTGGAGGCTCCTTCCCTGCAGGTCTTCAAAACCCGCCTGGATGCCGCCCTGTGCCACATGCTCTAGGTGTGCCTGCTTGAGCGGGAAGGTTGGACTAGATGATCTCTAGAGGTCCCTTCCAACCTTGAATATTCTGTGATTCTGTGACAATGAGTTTAATTCCCTGCCTACCTCTTTAGGCCAGCTCTGCCTAACATTTCTGAGGGGCACTGAAGCTGGAAGGCTGCTCCAGAGATAATCTGTGATTCTTTCATCTACAGTTGAGTGGGATCCAGCACCAGTGTGAAGATAGCCATGCTACACAGTGTTGAATAGCTCAAAGAGAAGAAGAGTTGGTTTTGTTTTGTTTTGTCCCTCCCTACTTTTTTCTCTTCCACATCTTTTTTTTTTTTCCAAAGTTTCTTTAAAGCTTTTTCTTAATCTTTGCCTTTGCCGTTTCTGTTGGCGCCATACAGCCAGGGGGGCTTTGCCAGCACAGATTTTACTGGCCCTTCTGGTTTCTGTCCAGAAGGCTGGAGAAAAGGTCTTTAACATGGTTGTTTTGGAGTGGTGTATGGAAGGGGAATATTTCTCAAATGTTCTTGGTTGCAAAACCTCCAGTGATTTTTATAAAATATTTAAGAAGAAAAAAGTTTTAATGTTTGGAAAGAACAGACTCCTGGAACAGGTGTAAAGAACGTTATTCTTCATGTTAATAAATCAGTGAATGAAGTCAAAATGAGTTTGTTTGTTTGTTTGTCTGTTCTCACACCTCTCCAGGAAAGCAATACCCCTTCCTAAGGGAAGTGGCAGAGTTGGGATTTGCAGCCAGCACTCCAGGGAGCTGCTGCAGTCGAGGGCTTGCGAGATGACCATCTGTGGCAGAGCATCTCCCCCTTGCGTCTAGCTGTGGTCTAACCACATCTTTACCATCGTTTTCACTGTATCTGGCTTATTTGTGCAAGCAGGAGCAGCACCTGAGGCAACTATCCCATCTCATATTCCAGTCCACTGTGATAGGTGCTGTTTTGTTTCTCAGAGTGCAGACTCTGGATCATTGGGGTCTGGCCTATGCTTATGAAGACTGTCTGTCTCACTGATGGGTTCCCCTTACCTTTCGGAGCCTTATTGCATGGGAGTGTTGGTCCAAGGCTCCCAGCAGGTTACAAGTCAGAGTAAAAGAGTCAGGAAAGGGCACAGAAGAAACTGATCCTCTCCAACTGTGAGAACACCTTCCAGAAGGCCTGGGACCAATAATCCAAACTCTCTCCCTTAGACAGTTACTATTAAAAGACAGGTTTTGCAGCCCTGTACAAGCTAATTTCAGTGGTCTCTTCTGCCTTCCCCACTGCTCAAAGTGTTAGTAGTTTGGACAGGCAGGACAGAGTGCAGGGTCCTACACAGGGCTCTGGGTTCTGCAGTGGGTGTGCTGGGTCTTGCTGAGTTACTTTGCATTGCTCTGTAGTGCACATTAGCCTGATGCAGGAGGATCTGGCTCAACTCCCTCTGACAAGCTCTTATCACGCTACTGGGGCTGAGCTACTGCAGCTTTTCTACAGTAAGTATCCAGAGTCTATGAGACAAGTCCATGATGATTAAGGGTGCCCAGAATTTCTTAAAAGTTAGGAATTGCACTCTCAGTCAAAGTGACCCTGAGAAGAAAAACAGAGAAGACACACAATCTCAGGCTTAAAACAGAGGCTGCAATATGGGATTATATGTAGGATGGAGGATTTTGCATGGTATTCCCATTCCTGCCCACAATTACACTACAAAAAGCAGCTGACTTTAAACATCTAAGGTGAACACCTTGCTTCTCACCACTCCCAAGAAGAGAGGATTCCCCAATGTACTGTAGCAATCATATCATGGTAGGAGAGCCTGTATTAATGCAAAGGACTGGAGGTTAGTGCAGAAGGCTGGTGGCAACTCTGTATAAGACGAGGAGAGCATGTAAGTGGGAGGACAGTTACAGGGACAGCAAATCCCTATACTGGATGGCCATGGATGTGCAATTTCAGTGCTCGAACAACAAGAACTACAACAGCTCATCTGCAGGGAGTTGAAAATGGACCTCTCCAAACTGTGACCACTTTCACCTTGGACAAGGGACTGGTAGACAGGAAAAGCAGATTGCTGGAGAAGAGGAGGATGGTTGCTACCTCTCTCCACCACTCACAGCTTTGTCTGTTATTTTTTTTCCAAGCCCAAGTTACTTTTGTCTCCTATAATTTGTTGCTGTGAGTAGAAAAATACAGCAAAGCTTGAGCTCTCAGATAGTGTAGTCAAGGTTTTTAGGTTCCTGAACAAGTATGTGCATTAATTAAACATATTTTTAAAAAGAAACTGCAGGTGATAAAGTGCTGGATTTATACGATGTCTGGAAAAAGGGTTAGTTTCCAGACATACTGGCAGAATGTACCCACATGTATTTTCTGTCAGTCTATCAGCACCTATAAATCCCTAATGAATGCCAATATGAAGCTCTCCATGAATTAATTCCACTGATGCTGGTATGTATCTCCATTTATAGAAGATGGTCTGGATCTTTTTTCCCCCGTTCTTCAGGAGTCAACCCTTTGCTCAAAGAGATTTTCCTTTTTGCTTTCTTATCCTTTGCCTAGATATAGCAGGAGGCTTTCTTTTTAATTCATTAACATGAGACAGATATTATGATTAGGCAGATACCAATTACTTGGCCCTTTTTTCACTGGTCTCCTACATCAGACCCCACTGTGTGCAGACCTGACCCTACAGACCACCAGGAAACCCCCACTTTGTCTGCTCAGCAGCTGGGAATACCCTCTAAATTGTTTTTCCACATCAGCAACCATGTTGCATGGAGCTATTTTGAAAAAGTAGCTTCCCTTGCTATGATTTTATGCTCCAAGCTGCTTTACAAGCAGAGCACGTGAGAAAATTTCCTGATAACATCAGGTATGGCTTTTTTTTTGTTCTTGGTGAGCAGAGGCCCTGCTGTTTCGGTATCTTCCATGTAAAGACCAAAGAGATGCAATCTGCCAAGTCAAGTCAAGTCAGATTCCTGTGACTATGAAGTAACATCTCCTGTTTCTTCTCAGTTTTGTGATCCATTCAGGATTTACCTGTGGCTTTTGCCAAGTTTCCCTCCTTCTGTAGCTGGGGGCAGAAGTGTTTCTGCTGTGGTATCTTGGCTTGAAGGCAGCTCAGCATCAGTGCCCTCAGCTGATGGGAGGTGCTGCTCTCTGCCAGCG